ACAATTTAATGCTATAGTGAAGCACATCTTAAACTGCGAAAAATGAAAAATAATAAAGGGGCGAAATAGAGAAACAGGAAAAACTGATGACGTAAAAATACCATAACCAGGAAAGCAATTCAACTGACACTGAGGTAAATAACTGTTTTTGCATATACCCCACAAGGCGAATTACTAGCCGACTAAAAATTGCTTTTCATATCTTTTTAAATACTCAGAAATTCTCAAATCTCGGGCCTGGTGCAATGCATGCGCTCCAGCAAAATATTATTGCCCAAGGAGTAGTATGGATATACCTTCATCTAAAATCAAATATTTTTCTCTTTAGAGGGCTTTGCGTATATTATAAAATCATTTTAGAGCAGCATTTAATTGATTGAAGACCGGAAACATGATTTCTAAAGAGGTCCTGTCACTGATGCTGAAAGGAGAGATTATTTGTCACGTATCACATTTTTTTATCTGGGTATCGTAATTTTTATTCTGACATTTAACACTCTTAGGCAAAGCTGTCAAAGTCTTCCAGAGAGTTTTTTTGTTGCCACACCTTCGAAAAGCCCCCTCAACGAGGTCTAAAAAACCCAACATTCAATTATTGAAACATGGGGTTTAGCTATCTGTCAAAACCATTTGTTTTTCTTTTTTTGTATTCAGCTCATGATTTCCCAGAAAATCAGTGGTATTTCTTCTATGTGACACTGTTTTTACCATAAATTAATGAAGTACTATTTTGGTAAATATGTCTCTAGACCTTCATTTATCACTAAAGGAATCTTAATCAAGGATTCATGTTACTTATATACATTTCGTCCAAGTGTTACTTCATGCACTTGCGATGTGTAAGATGATGTGATGCTAAAAATTCTCTCAGTCTCTTGCCAGTATCAGACATTCTTCCCTTGAAAGTAGCTGACAAAATGAGTTTTAAAAAAATTTTTTTCTTAATATTTCAGTCAAAAAGTACCTAATTTTGTACGAACTTGAAATTAAAGAATAAATAGAATGATTTTCTCTACGTGCTTAGCAATTTAATAAACCAAACAGGTTTCTAGAGGCAAAATGTTACGCCGTAAATACTCTCTTATCTCTTAAAATAGAACAATTTAATTCGTTAATCATATCAAATTAGTTTCCAAAAGGAGTCTTATGAACTTCTTTACAAAGACGTTTTGAGGTCCCGTTAGTAGATATAGCAGAGAAATTATAATTTATCATCGAAACGGGAACAACATGAAACTCAGGAAGAAAAGTGGTAGTAACTCAGTTTTAGATATTTACTTCAGCGCCAAATTAGGAACACTCATTTCTATAAAAGTACAGAGAAACGTTTCTTACAGTCAAATTCAACTACGAAGAAGGAAAAGAAACAGAGAAAGAAAATGTAAAGAATCTTCACTGAAGCCAACAAGAAAAACTAAGGAATTTAGTTATGGAGGTTTACAAGGTAAATCAATGTACCTTAGTTCTTGTTAAACGTGTGTTTGAGAATTCATTTTATTCCTTAATTTCATTCCACAACTAGTTATTTTTCAGAATGGTTTTACCTGGCAACAACGCACACTTTCTGTACTTTTCTGGTTAATAAAATTAGAAATACTGTTGGAATAAAATAAAGTATGTATATTAGATCTTTATTCAAGTGCATTTTTATCATCATAAGAATTGTAATATTTACTGTTGATAACAAGTTGATAAAGGATCTATATTTTCTAGATTCTAGTCGTTATCCTCGCAATTTTTCTTCACCGTGGAAATGGCCGGACGACTGGGTTTAAAAAAGTCGTGCGTGGAATTCAAGATGGCAGAGTCCTGTCCACGCTGGGTGCTGCCGCATGGAGACAAAAGAGATCCCCTGGTGACGAGCCCAGTTGTTACACTGGCAGATTTGTGTCATTTAGTTTGCCGAGCAACAAGAAAGTTACTGTTCCCATTTGTAAGAAGATTACCTCATCCATAACCGCATGTTTTAGTTCAATGGCAAACAACAACAATCAAAGGAAATGTGTTCCGTCCCGTATGATCACAATGGAAGGAGTGGCGTTTAACACAGCCTGTTCATGTGCACCATAGAATACTTCAAGCTCGAAACTTTTGAACCCCACAATGTGTCAGGAACACAAGGACTAAATTATATCGACCGTTGCAATATTTATCATTTCATCATGTGTGCGTTTCATATTTATATATATGTATGTTAAAGAACCTTTCCATATTAAAAAAGAAAAAACTTATTGACCTCTGTCGTTTGTACATAACCATCTTCACCTGTAGGCGGATCCTTAGAATTGCGGCGCATACTGTACTGCGCATAAAAATACGCAGACAGGGGAATAAGCACGCGCACATTCTTAGAGCATGGCCTCCATAATAATTAAGTTAATCATGTTTGCGCTATAAAAGGACAAGAGCTGAAAAAGTAAACTGTAGAGAAAGATTTGTCTCAATTCACAACGGTAGAGTTGACCTCACTGATGTCCTTTTAATATTCTGACAAAGGAATACTTTGCTTTTATCGACAACTTTAACAGCTTTTATTGTTTTAATTGCACCCTTTAACAAGGATTACCAAACCTTATGAAGGCTGTGACTGCAGATGTTTTGATTTTTTTACCTGTGTTTGCTGGATCCTCGCCAATCAACTCTTAGCACGTCACTCCCTTTTTACCCACTGTCAGATTGATGAATGAATGGCAAAGACGTCATTATCCTTAATCGAAGGTCGTTTGTCGAAGTTTCCTCAGATGATAGTTGCTATTTTGCTTATGTAATGAGCCCGCAGATATGGAATGTATCTTCTCCTGTGTTTCTGCACCTCAACTGTGGAACAATTTGCCTGCCCATATGCGTTTTTGTGATAATTTGAATCCTTTTAAATCTAAACTTAAAACATATTTATTCAAGAAGCTTTTAATTCCAAGGACTGTAATTATTTTTAATTACTGCTATTGATTCATTCATGTGTATATGTATATATATGTATGTATATTTGTGTATGCAATTTACTTATACGTTTTATGTTGTGAAGCGCCTAGAGCACGACTGGATAGGCGCTCTATAAATGCTGTTTATTATCATTATTTATTATTCACGTGTTCAACTCGATATCTCCCGCTGAACACTCGAAGAGAAATTCCTCAACTAGGCGCGTGCATGTATTATTCTATATCTATACAGCTTCAAAAACTGATCTATCAGGACATATCTGCTTTCAGTAAATGGGGGCTAGATTTTTATCGCATAAGAATATGTGTAATTAGGATGAAGAGGTTTTTAACCTGTCATCAAAACGTCAACTATCAGCTTACAACTTTCAAAAAAATTAACGAATCTTTTGTAACTATGCTTTCAAATGAAAGATTTTACATGAAAAAGCTAACTATAGCACAACAAAATTGAAGAAAAAATTGAGTTACGTCCTTTTGGTAACAAAATTGAAACTTTCACATATAACCACACATTTCAGTGTTATGGTGAAGCACATCTTTCACTGCGTAAAATAAAAATAATAAAATGGCGAAACAAAGAAACAGGAAAAATACTGATTACATGAAAATACAATCACCAGAAAAGCAATTAAACTGATACTGAGGTAAATATCTGTTTTGCGTATACCGCACAAGGCAAATTAATAGCTGACTATTCATTGCCTTTTATCATCTTTTTAAATACTCAGAAACTTTTAAAATCTCGGGCCTTGAATGTATGCTCTCCAGCGAAAACTTTTGCACAGGGAGTCGTACGGATGGACCTTCATCTAAGATCAAACATTTTTTTCTCTTTAGAGGTCTTCGCGTATATTCCAAAATAATTTTAGAGCGACATATAAACCAATGAAGACGGGGAATACGATTTCGAAAGAGGTCCTGTCACGGATGCTAAAAAGGACAGATCATTTGTCACGTATCATAACTTTTCATCTGGGTGTCGTATTCATTTCTGACATTTAACACTCTTGGGAAGTTCTTTCCTTGACAGAGCTGTCAAATTCTTCCGGAGAGTTTTTAATTCCTACACCTTCGAAAACTCCCCTCAATGAAGTCTAAAAAAAACCCAACATCAACTTTTTGAAACTCAGATGTTACTTATGTACGTTTCACCCAAGTGTTACTCCATGCACTTGTGACGTGTTAGATGATGTAATGGTGCACATTCTCGCTGTCTCTTGTCGGTAACAGACAACATTCTTACCTCGAAAGTAGCTGAAAATGTGTTTTAAAATAATTTTTTTTAATTTTTCAGTCAAAAAGTACCTGATTGTGTATGAACCTTTTAAAATTAAAGAATTAATAGAATGATTTCTCCGCGTGCTCATCGATTCTATAAACCAAACAGTTTTCTGGCTAATAGTAAAATGTTACACTGTAAATACTCTCGCATCTCTTAAAATAGAGTAGTTTTATTTGCTGATCGTATCAAATCAGTTTCCAAACGGAGCTTTATGAATTTCTCAAGAAAGAGTATTTGTTAAAAGCCCGTTTTTAGATAATTTAAAGAAATTCTGATTCATCATCGAAACTTTACTAACACTACAGGAAACTCAGGAAGAAAAGCGGTCGTTACCCAATTATAGATATCTACTTCAGCGCCAAATTAGGAACACTCATTTGCATAAAAAGAGAGAGAAACTTTTCTCGGCATTGAAGTCAAAGAAGAAAAAATAACAAAGCTAAGAAACAACTTTGAAGAGTCTTTACCGTAGCCAACAAGAGATACCAAGGAATAGAGTTATGGAGGTTTACAAGGTAAGTCAATGTACCCTAGTTCTTGTTAAACGTGTGTATGAGAATTCTTTTCATTCCTTATAATTAATTTCAAAACCCAATTAAATATAATTTTCAATGGTTTTACCTGGTAACAAGGTACATCTTAGGACCATTTTCCGGTTAACTAATTTACAAATAACTTTAATTGGAAGATTAAAAAAAAGTGTTTTTTTGCATTAGATCTTCATTCAGCTTCAGTTTTACCATCAAAACAATTGTAATATACACTGTTGATAATGAGTTGACAAAGGATCTATATATTCTAGGTTCTCGTCGCGTTTCAGGAGACCACAAGATGCCAAGACCACTTAACTGATGTGCCAAAGTTGCAAATTGGCAGTTTCCATTTCCAGGGTGATTGTACGTAATTACAAATCAATGATCCTCTATTATTTTCCCGTAGACTTCCGTTTCCATAGGGATAAGAAATTCAACACGGTCGTTTTCTTTTTGCTGCTTTGAAAGCCTAGCCACTCCTTGTTTGTTTTTCTCTTCTCGTAAGGTTAAACTCATTAAAACATCAACTGCCAGCCACTTCTCGTTTTTTCCGCCTCCGGGGGAAGTGTACGACACTTTATATAGGCGCCTCTTTAAATTTATCTTTTCAATGACCGCCTCAGTAACACAACCCTTCTTTTGAAGCCATCCTTTACCACGCAGGCGCACATACACTTTCTGCCCGACAGCATATTTTAAGGGTGGATTGGTTCTTGCAGACGCCTGTTTCATTCTTCTGTCACACCTTGCTGTGGCGGTGTGGGCGTACTTTCTAACAACTGATACGTGTTTTTGTCGGTGCTTTCGATCTGCATAGCTAGGGTTATACTTTCTCTTCTTCTTGAGCAGTTCTTTTTCCTTTCCTGGGGTCTATGTCTTGTCAAGTGAATTACATCTTCGAGCGAAGTAGAGCTAAAAAAGTGTCTTGTATCCTAAAGCCTCTTTTCGGTCTTCATTTAGAATTTGTTGATAATTACTCAGATTTTCCGCCCAGTTTACGCCTTTTCTTCCCATTTTTAAGACGTCGTACTCTATTTTTGATCTGAGTGACTTGTGGTTTCTCTCAGCCTTCCCTTGTGATTGTGGATGGAAGGGTCGACTGTATATTAGCTTTATGTCCATGCGGCAACACACTCTTTCCATAGCACCCTAAAAATCACCGCCCTTATCGCTTTGAGTTACGCGCGGTCGTCCGTGCTCCAAATAGATATTTCCCACGTCAGAGATGACCTTTCTACTTTTTTCTCTGACTGCACGCTACAAGACGAACCGACTAAAAACGTCCATTATCGATAATACATACCGGTATGATTTCTTATTTAGAGACACTGTTCCACCCTTGCCATGTCCATCATATCCACGTGATGCCTCGTTTGAACGAGTACGAATGGGTTTGAGTGCATCCTTGTTGAGAAATTTAGCATTTTTTCTGTAGTGAAGCGTATCAGAGTTCAGGATGTTTTGAACTTTAGTTCAGCCTAGCCCCACAAACACATGTCGCAAGTTGCTCACTAGCTTTCTTGTGCCTGATCCTTTAATGCGCTAAAATTTCTCTGCCACAAGTTTATCGACTTCAGAGAGTCGAAGCATTTGACTTCCCCGGTAATACAGCACATCTTTCCCTTTTCCTTTTGGACGATTATCTCTCCTTTCGCTCTCCAGTATCCTACATAAGCTGATCTTTCTACGCTGCTTCTTTCTTTTACCGGTGGAAGAGGTTTCCATTAGCAATCTTGATCACACAATCGTAAATTTCATCTGATACTGCCGTTGGCGTTCGCTTACCTCGCACTTTCCTTGCTCGACAAATCGGGTTAACTGACACAAACCAGATTAGGGTGAAAAAGACGACAACTCGTAGCAATTGCATCTTCTCAGGCTTTCCAAGCTAATTCTCGCCGTTGGACTACTACAGGCTATTTATAAATTCCTGGTCGTATAGATGATGTTGAAGTGTCTGCATGCTGTCTTAATTTCCCGCCGTCTTTGCAGAAATCATCATGACCCAAGTGCATTGTGGGCTATGGCATCGATAGGCCACGAGCGAAATTTTTTTTTTTTAAGAAAAACCTTATGGCATTGCAAGGCTAAGATAAGATTATTTTTGTTCCATTCAACTATTAATTAAAATTTTTATTTTACTTTTTCATTTAAAGTATCTCGATATAATTTTTTTTCGTTTGAAGTTTAAAAATAAAATGAAATAACATGTAAATAACGGGAAACTAACAAGACACTACACAACTTTCTTGTGGCATTCCTAGGCCACCATACTTATGTTAGTTTTTGTCTCAAAGTGAAATGCGTCTATCCTGAGCCCTCCGTTTATATGGATTTCTTTTTGATCGACTAATATTTTTTAGTGATAATAGTTTTTGTAGATTATTTTCGTTTACCGCAGCTTCGCAAAAACTCGTTTTTTGTCACACGCTTTGAACATAGGTGACCCAAGCTCTGTCAAAGGCTCTTTCACAGTGAATAATTAAAGAGTTTGTATATTGGTTTAGTTGGACTTGCTTTTCAGCTCCATAAATGTAAAGTTGTTTGAAATAATCAAAGAAATAAAGTCTTCCCTTCGTAGAGAGTAGTCTGTGTTGTTCTCCTCGCGATTTGAGGCCGTTTTGATGGGTAAGAGGATATTTGTAAAAATCCATTGAAAACAGTGAAGATGGACAGTATCGACGATCTAGTCAAGTCGATGAGTTTACCCGGGGTACCTTGGTATGTGTGAAGATTCGGTGTTAGAAGACTATGGGGAGGACCCGTTGAGAGAGATTTGACTAGGTTCCAGGTTGACCGCGCATTAACGGTCTCTGCACAAGAAGTTCCTTCCACGCATTAAAAGAATTCCGAACGGCCATTAATTTGAAATTCTCGCTGGATTGGTTGCTCGACAAACCGACTTTTGTGGGATTTTTTTCAGTGAACTTAAAGGGAAACTATTTGGCTTTCGTGCTGCCGAGTTTTGATTCGAAGGAAAATATTTAAGTGTTGTTTTCGAGCGATTTTGGCGAGCATGTGTCAACAGAAGTTTCCGTCCTTCCCGTATTTTATGCACGGTAATTTAGGGCGTCAAGCTAAAACACATCAAAACGGCCTCAAATCGCGAGGAGAACAACACTGACTAGTCTCTACGAAGGTAAAACTTTATTTCTTTGATTATTTCACACAACTTTACATTTATGGAGTTAAAGGGCAAGTCCAACTAAACCACTATACAAACTCTTTAATTATTTAGTGTGAAAGAGCCTGTGACAGAGCTTGGGCCACCTATGCGTTGAATAGGCTTCTATTCTGAGGTCATTATCTCGCTTTCGTCTCTTTCTGATGTTTTCAGTCATTTGTTTTCATTGACATTTTTTCGTAGAGGCTTGCTATGTTTTTGATTCATTGAAATGAAGTTTCTCTCGTTTATTAGGATCACTATTAGATGCTGATAATGAATAGACCCTTTCGGTGGTTTTCTTTCAGAAACAAAGGTGAAGGACGCGCTAACTAACAGAATGTTGATAACTTAGTGATGTTAAACTTATGAGATTTTCCCTCGGTCGCGATATGCATGGAACGTTACTAAATGGGGTACGGGGAATGGGAATGGGGAATGGAGAATGGGGAATGAGAATGAGAGATGGAAAATTGAAAGGAGATAAATGAAAACATGAAATTAAAAATGGGAAAGTAGAAAATAGTCAATTATTAAAAAAAATTAATGCTTTCGCTTTGGTGTTATCAATTTACTTATCCTTTTAAAGAGCAATAGATTGGAAAGAATTTAATCATTTTCATTTTTTTATCAAGCGCTGGTCAAAGAATGAAGAATACTAATGCACAGGGTGAATCAAAATCCAAACTTTAAAGATTCTTCTTCCCTTTTTTAACAAAGAAAACAAACTCCTAGCACTATAAAATAGAAAGGAAATACATGACGGGTGGACGGTTTTCCAGCAATTTCAAGACGGATGGTTTTATTTACAGCTAAGTAATAGAGGATTTATATAGCCTCATCTTGACGCAGAGGGGGGTGGAGGAGAATTTGAGATATTTATGCAAACCCGAGATTCAGCCGAAGGTTTGCATACAATTTGAGAGAATACTCCCAAAATGCTCCGAGAAAATATTTGTTCAACCTATTTTTTCATATCCGTGAAATGAAAGAATCTTTCTCCGGCTTAACGCGATAGCCGTTACGTGATAGCTTTTGAGACGAAAATGATAAATTAACACCCGTGACGGTGAAGCAAAGAAAAAAGAAAAGAAACGTTTAATTAGTATTTGTACTGGAACCAAATGTGAGCGAACTGAGCCACTGTAAGAAACTCAGTAACAGATATTCTGATTTAACAAATCATCCGTTTTAAAACTACTCGAAAACCGCTCACCTTGATGTATTCCCTTTCATTTTTTTTGTTCCGAAGAAAACATCCTCTTTGATATAAATAAAAGAAAAACCTTCGAAGTTTGTACTTTGACTCACCTACGTGCATTATGAATATTTCATCCTTAGATCCCCTTACGGTCGTGAAAACAAAATAAGTCTTCACATTCTTTTCAAAACTTCAATAGTTCATTGAATGTATACACCAATCTTTCCCACGTGAACAAAAGATTTTCAGTTGTGGTGTACAATTGACGATCAATAATTTGTCATTTTTAATTCCCCATTTTCAGTTTTCCTGCTTCAATTTCCTATTCCCCATTCCCCTTTTTAGTGATATCCGATATACGTGGATTTATCAGGTAAAGCTCACGTTTACTTGGAATATAGGGTATCAGTGTGAGTAGATCAAATTGTCGATTTATCCATTTTTGCAAAAAAATTTTCCCATCATCACGTGACTTATGACGTCCACTTTATATATGTTTTATTTGAGAGTTAATTTTGTTGCACGTTTTCTTCTGGAGCCATTTATTACATTTGAGTCCAACTATTATTACATTTGGGGCCAGTTATTGCATTTTAGGCCAACTGTTATTACATTTGGAGCCAGTTATTACATTTGAGGCCAACTGTTATTACATTTGGAGCCAGTTATTACATTTTAGGTAAACTGTTATTACATTTGGAGCCAGTTATTACATTTGAGGCCAACTGTTATTACATTTGAAGCCAGTTATTATATTTGAGGCCAGCTGTTATTACATTTGAAGCCAGTTACTATTGAAGAAACTGTCACATTCCGATTGGTTAACGAAACGAGGTATTCAGCGTGAAATTGCGAATTGGAAACAAGGCTAAGTGATAATATTTCGCATCTGAGCGCCCACTCAGGATAAAAACAAAAAATTTTGATGCTGTTTTCTTATTTACTTATTGTTACCGTGACGACATAATCTTTATCGTATTACAGTCTATGAAAAGTGATTAGTAAACAATTAATTTAGTTATATCAACTAAGTTGAAATTGTAAGTTGGCCACCGTAAAGTGTTAACAGCTGGTGTTTCGAGCGTTAACCTTTCGTCAGAGCGAATGGAGGAATTGAGTGTTGCGTGTCGGTTTATATGCAGAAAGTGGAGCTACGCTCCACCATTTGTGTGTTCTTCCATTTGTGTGTAATGCTACAACTTGTGGGTAATTACTACACTCTTCCCGGAACTATCGGTAGCTCTCTTGTAGATACATTACAAGAAGAGGCCAGCCCAGAGAATTCTGAGCCTGAAAGATGGTGCTACTGTGGCAGAGAGGAAGAAGGAGAGATGATTTGTTGTGATGATGAAAGATGCAAGATACAGTGGTATCATTTTGATTGTATAGGCATATCAGAGGCTCCCAGGGGAACATGGTACTGCCCAAAATGTATCAAGGCGAGTCCTAAACGTGTCGCAAAGATCCCAAGATCTGAATGATCAACACGCAATGCAGAAATAGACATTAATGTTTTGTTAGAAATCCAGTCAGAGTAAAATCTGCTGCTTCCACATTTGTTATTAGTCTAAATATATTATTCCTTAGAAACTATTGAATCGCATAAGTTCGTTAGTGCACAGCAAACTCGTGCAATCTTATCTACTGTGGTTAAACCCTGGGTATCTCGAGTTTGTAAAAAGGTGATTGGAGGAGTGTTTTGCAGAATTGAATACTTTTGCCTGACACAGCCTATAACTCTCTCCACATGGATACGTACCTGAGCTATTTTTCTAGTAGTCTCTATATCTACAGCTGACAACTGAGCCTTTCCTTTGGTAAAAGCAGGTATATTAAGTTGTGCATGTTGTGAACCAACACTTTCAAAAATATTGAAACCACGATCTGCTAGAACAAGATTACCTGGTAATAAATGACCTAGGAAACCACTATTTTCAGTGATACACTTGTCATTAGCCCTCCCTCCCCAAGCCTTAGACAAAAACGAAACTACTCCCTGTGGTGTTATCCCAATTAAAAACTTGACTGTATTATGGTGCTTGTATGATGACCATGTTTGAGCTTTAGCTTTAAGACCAGAGGGTCTTTCAATAAAAATTTCAAAACAATCTATTATAACTGCAATTTTTTTCCCAAAGTGCTCCCGAAAACTTAAAGGCATGGTTCTATGCAATTCTTCCCTTGATGGCCACTTGATAAGAAAACTAAGTTTAGCAATTAATAAATCTACATTGCTTAAAAAGAACTTAGATATGAAAGTTTTGGAAACATTAAATCTATATGCAAGATCTTGCACGTGGCAACCCAGTCGCAATCTCATTAGTGTGAACAAAAGTTGCTGAAACTTGGATACTTTAGAGGAACTTGGCAGATATACTTGGAGATATTTAAAGAGAGTTAACAGTACTGATAAATTTGAGAGGCCAGTGTAATACTTCGTCTTATCGTTATCCTTAAATGACTCTATATCGAACGATTTTTCTGCCACTTCTTTCTGAAGGTTGTCCTTCTCTTGTCGCAGACTAGTGATTTCTTGCTCCATTTCATCAATCTTCCCACTTGTTAATTCTGTTTGAATGGACACAGATTTGATGGTGGGTTCCTCTACATCTTCTTCAATCTCTTTCTCAACATGACGCATGTCTGGCACGTCAGATGCTCGCTTTTTTAGGGGGAAATTGCAAATTCATTTGTAGTAGACCTTCTCTTCGACCTCTCGTAGCGGCTAACACACGAAGCATTCGTCGCCTTCTCGTTGTAGCCAAGTTTCAACGTTGGCGCCCAGTCAGGATTTTCAGGGTCAAAAAGAGCTGCAGGTTTTCCTATTTAATTAAAAAAGAAGTGTTATAATTTTGCGAATGCATGTTAACAAACACTGAATCAAAACATTCTTGCAGACACCAATCTTTAGCTGCTCCATTACTTTTGTTTGCCATAAGTTAATATCAAAACGTAAAATTTACTAACCTGAATGAAAATTATCCGAGCAAACTCGAATGTGTTTGGATGGCATCCAGCCTTTTCGACTGAGGTTTGCCAACCATTGATTGCGTCTTTTAGACGAAAGATCGCGCACTTTTTCTCCTTGATGGACGATAACACTTGGGAAACAATAATATCCCTTCTTGTCGCGATTTGAGCGGTTGGAACAACCGACAACAAAGCAAAAATTGACCATCTTTACGTCAGCCCTTCGGTTCGCCTTATGTTTTCCCCGAGAGGTTGACCTTCAAGATGGCCGTCAATACGTTTCTAAACGTGACGTCATGCGGGAAACCTCTAGTGGTGGGAACATGGTGACGAGAAAAACAGGAATAAATTAGTAGAATGAAAAGCGTTCGTTAATACCTATGGGGTTAAGAGTGCCGATTTGAAAGATAAATTTTTGTTCAAGAGTTTCGCGGCTTTCCGAGCTACCTAGATGTAAGGAAAGACCGCAGATTGCCATATTGCCATATGCTGCTTAAAACGATTAGGTAGATTAAAGTGTCCAGCGACTGATTTTGATGCGTCCTTGTCATTCCTTTCTACGTCGCGGAGTTGTTCTCGGAATCGGTCACCTTAAGTCGTCTTCCTGTTTTTCCGATTTATATCGTTTTGCAATAAGTGCAAGTTATGCAATAAATGACGTCCCCAGTAAGGACCTTTGAATTTTTTTCCAATTTCTGAAATAGCGAACGAATTCTCAGTTAAACAAGACGTTATTCCTTTGCCGCGTTCAATTAAAAGCCTTTTTTCATGACAAAGAAGATGACTCTAACACCTCGAACAAAGACACTTTCGAAACACTTCAGATTCGAAAGTCTAAATGGACTCCCCCCGATGGCCAGTTCGCATCATTAGATTTGTTTATCAAAAAATGTCGCCACGATATTAACAAACTTAATTTAAATCGTAACACCAAATTTTCCAATCTCTTCTCTGAAGAGTGGTCTGCACTAAAAAGCCTAAAAAAACGTTAAGAAATTGTTGTCAGAGTGGCCGACAAGGGCGGCGCAGTAGTTGTTTGGCGGACTGACCTCTACCAAAAAGAAGCTTTGCGTCAACTTTCTGACACCTAGTATCAAAAGGTTGACAAAGATTTCACTTCCATTAATCAAAACACCATCAAAAATGTGATTAATGGACTCATGGCTAAACAAGAATTGCCGGCCACTGCAAAAAATCGCATCATAACCACTCCTAGAACTTCTTGTATTTACTTTTCACCTAAAATTCACAAACTTAAGAACCCAGGTCGGCCCATTGTCTCGGCTTACAGTTGCCCTACCGAACTTATTTCCAGTTATTTAGACAAAATTATGGCTCCAACGTCAAAACTTTACCATCATATTTCAAAGAAAGCCAACACGCTCTCCAAAATTTTCGCGACTTCTTTTCACTATGGACATTACATCTCTTTATACTGTCATTCTTAATGGCGCAGGCCTTCTGGCCCTCGACCATTTTTTGATCAATGCACTGTTAAGGAACCTAAATCTGAAATAGTACTTCGCTCAGCTGAACTAGTGCTCACACTCAATTATTTTTCATTCGGGAACACCAATTTTTCAGCCAATACAACGGCCCCAAACCTGAACTCTACGGTCGCTACATTGACGACTGTACCGGCACTACCTCAGAGAGGAGCTAACTCAATTCATAACCGCATTCAATTCCTTTCATCCGGCTCTAAAGTACACCTGGAAATTTCCGACAATTCTTTATCGATTTTAGACATCAAAGTTTCTATTGAAGGCAACGGTTTATGCACTAGTGTGTATTACATGCAGAATAACAAAGTTACTTGTATTCATATTCGTATCCATCTCGTGTCAAGAATTCTATTCCCTTTTTTCAGTTTCTAAGACTTCGTCGTTAATGTAGTGATGACTCTGATTTTTTCCACAAATCAGAGTCAATGTGCCAGTTTTTCTAAAAACGTAGTTACCCTGTTTCTGTCGTTCAAGCGGGTTACCACCGCGCCCTATTGATCAACATTCCACTAATTTTCATTCCACTAATTTATTCATGTTTTTCTCGTTGCCATGCACCCACCAATAACGTAGCTCCATTTTCTGCCTTTAAAAGCACACACAACCCACAATTCCTCTATTCGCTCCGACGAAGGGCTAACGCTCGAAACGTCAGCTTTTGTAATCATTACGGTGGCCAATTTACCATTTCAACTTTGTTGATATATCCAAATTATTTCGTTACTCCCACCGACGCAGCCCCAAACAGTTTCTTTCGAAACTATCAGCCTTTATTCTATTGATCAACAGTCAGCACTACAAACGTCGCAGAAGGAAAATTCCGACCGCATTCCATTCACTCTCACGTTTCACCCTCACAACCACTCGATTAAATCCATTACTCTTAAAAACTTTAATTTACTTAAAAAATGATCCAGAGACTGGTACTATCTTTTCGCAGCCTCCACTCATTTCATTCAAACGCGACAAAAATATGGGTAATTTTTTGGTCAGAAGTTCATTACAAAAGAATGACCAACCCGGCACTTTTAAATGCGCTCGCGCACGATGCAAAACTTGCAATTGTCCTTTCATTCACAACGCCGAGAAACTATTGGGACCCAAACGATTCATTAAGATCACTGATCACTTCACGTGCACCTCCGCCGACGTCATCTATTGCATAACTTGCATTTATTGCAAAAAGATATGAATCGGCAAAACAGGAAGACGACCAGCTGACCGATTCCGAGAACAACTCCGCGAGGTAAAAAGGAATGACAAGGACGCATCAAAACTAGACGCTAGACACTATCTGATCATTCTAAGCAGCATATGGCAATCTGCCGTCTTTCCTTACATTTGGGTAGCTCGGAAAGCCGCAAAACTCTTGAACAGAAGTTTACCTTTCAAATCGGTATTCTTAACCCCATAAATAGGTATCAACGAACGCTTTTCATTCTACTAATTTATTCGTGTTCTTCTCGTCACCATGTTCCCACCGATAAGCGTAGCTCTACTCTCTGCATATAAAACGACACGCAACCCACGATTCCTCCATTCGCTCTGACGAAGGGCTAACGCTCGAAACGCTTTACGGTGGCCAATTTACAATTTCAACTCAGTTGATATAACCAAATTACCTTGTTATCCCCACCGACGCAGCACCACAGTTTCTTTAGAAACTACCCCCTTTAGTAAACAATTAGTTGAGTTAGTGAACGCACGTATTTGGATATGCTCTTGAGAACTAGAGCCGCAAATGTTAGTATGTAAATGTTGGTATGTAAATTCATCTTATATTGTTTCGCTTTTCAATATCCTGTTACGTTTCTAAGTACACCGAATCAGTTAGCGTTTTGTGATCTATTTTCAGTTGACCTTTTGCTTTACATGGACATGAGACAATAAAGTAAATGAGTGCGACAAAGGACGTTTATTGAGTATATCCGACACAATCACACTTATGGAAAATCTATCACCTGACTCGTAAATTCCGCGTTAAATTGCACTTGAAAATCACAGAGGATAAAGTTTAACTGAAAAAAATGACCCGAGGGTCTAAAAACTCACTTCGATTAAACGGAATTTTCAACTTATCGAGAACCAGAATTAAACGGAATCGATGCTCTTTTCTGGGAGAAAGAAAATAACCGACACTTACATTACATACATACATACCTACATAACCTTTATTAACGTGTCTATTCGTTCTAGTGCCTGTAAGCACTAATTGGGGACACCCTAAAACTACATTATATCATTAAAACAGATTAAAAATAATCTAAAACTAGTATACTAATTAATGGCACTAATGGACATCCTAAAGCTACATTACATCATTAAAAAAAGAAAAAAAAAATATATATATATATATATAAATACTTTAAAACATTAAAAAAGCCCTAAGATATGCGCACATTACAACTTTTAAAAATATTTTGGGATATGGGATAGAATTAAGTCCAAATACCAGGTTTCGGTTGTTGAGAGGTTGGAAAGCGCTATCCAACGAATAAATCTTTTATCCGGCAGATACGTGTTTACAAAACATATGACGCTATCCAGTGGATAGCATTATTCAGCCTTTGACTAATCAGCCCCTGGATGTAAACCAGTTATCTGTATTACTGCGGTAAAAGGATGGATTTCAGTGGAAAAAGTTTACAGTACACGGTAATTCTAATAAACTTGCTCTGGAAACAAAATTTTGCAATACTAATCACCTTACGGTAAAACGTCGAAATCTCGTTTTCGTCAAAAGATTGTAAAGATCACATCAAATGTTCAATTTTATTTTCCTTCAATACAAGTTATCTCAGAGAATTTTCGAACATATGCTGCTGTTAGAGAAATGAGGGCCGGTTATTTAATCAAAGTTTAACAAAACTGCGTTCTAAACTATCTTCAGTTTAGCCGAATCTTTTCATCTAAACAGTTATTTATGTGAACAGTCTCAGGAGGGCCGAAAGCTAACAGTGGAAGGACATTTATTTTATCATATCAACCCTCTTATCGATAATACCGGAGGCCCACTGCCTTCGTAAATCCACGGTTTGGTTTAGACCTCGTTTAACCAACCGATCCTAAGACTTCTAATTTTTCCGGTTTCGAAAAATTGGCAAGCTGAGGCGAATTTCTACCTGTTTTCTTCGTACTTTGTTATGCTCCTGACTATTTTGCTAAAAGCTCGTGGAAAAGTAAAGGGAAGTATGGAGGTTCTCCGCTAGTAAAGGGAAGTATGGAGGTTCTTCGCTTATGTGAAGACGGTGAAAAAGTGTACAGTCATGGACAAAAACTCGCAACTTAGGAACTCGCAACTCAACTCGACGGAAGTGGGCGTTACATTCAAAACAATCTTTAAGCGCTATTGCTCGAGCAGTGAGCAATAGCGCCTAACGAATGGACAGGATAACTAATGGACAGGATAACGAATGGACAGAATAACGAATGGACAGGATATTGAAGATGTCGATGAGTTCGTGTACTTGAGAGCCAACGTTTGTAGAGAGGGTGGTGGTATGACTGAGAACTTGAAGAACAGGTTATCAAAAGCCAGAGGTACCTTTATCAAACTAAAGTAGATCTGGATCTCTAAGAACATCTTGAGGAAATCAAAACTGAGGCTGTATAAATCTCTAGTAGTGCCAGTGTTACTCTATGGATCTGAGACATGGAAGATGAGCAAAGGAGATGATAAAGCAGTGAATGTATTCCATAATAGGTGCCTACGAAGGATCCTCCGAATCCCATGGCAAGACCATGTCTGCACCAAAGAGCTACTGGAAAGGGCAGGCATGAAGCCACTGAGTGCGGAAGTGATGTCTCGTAGATGGAAAATGATTCGTCATATTCTTAGGAAAGATCGTAATAATGATTGGAATGTTGCTATGAGCTGAGCGCCAGAAGGTAAAAGGAGAAGGGGAAGACCAAAAACTACTTGGAGACGTACAGTAGAGAAAGAAAGGCAAGAGGCAGGTTGGAGGTCGTGGGAGGGGATGTGGACAGCAGCAACCAATCGAGAGGAGTGGAAAAGCCTATGAAGGCCCTATGTGCCACGAGGCATGAAAAGGATTGATGATGATGATGATGCCCGGGCAGTGAGGTCAACTAGTCTTGATATTATTGGATAATGGCCAAGTTTTTTCCTATTTCTCTCCCTTCATTCATCGCTAAAGAATCTCAATTTAAAATCAAAAAATCTTCAAGTTTTTTCTTTGGTCTGGACATCGACTTAACAGGCCTTATTGAAGATAGGCTCGTTTACAATCCGCTGTTCGATAACAGGAGCCCGCGCTCCTCCTTCTCTTAGGCAGGAACGAAAAAGACCGCACTCGAGAGAGCGGCAGAAACCGAGCCTACATTGAAGACGTCTCTTGCGAAAACAAAAAATGCCCAGTATAAGCTTACTAGCTGAGAATTGCAAAAAATTTACCATATCACATAGGCTCGTTACATTTCTCAGGCTGCAAGATCAATTAAAGCGGTACAGCAATCGCAAGTAGCCAAGATGTGTACAGCTTACCGACTCTAAAGTGTTCCAGACTGGAAAACGATAACGACGAGCGCCGGAAAGAGTTCGCGGGCGATAAATGGCGATTGCGGATGCTGACTATGCTGCCTGACCTCCACCATTTTTTGTTCACTGCTGTCTCAGTCAAACAAGAGCAACACAACTCTTTCATTGAAGAGAATGTCCACTAAGACGGAGCGAAAATGGAAATTCGTGTCATGTCTCCAAAAACCAAAATTCTTCATATTTTCTCTGAAAATTCCCTTTAGTGGCCTTAAGAAACGTGATAAAATTTTTTGTTAGTCATATCTTTTTAAACCTCCATAAAATAAAAAAATCCGTAACGAGCCAAAACGTCCTGAAAGGCATCCGAAAAATACGTGATTGATACCATCCCATAAAATTCGCCCTTTTGAATTCGCATCATAGAAAGAACCGTTTCGTGCTTTCAACTTTTCTGTTGAAGACTTTGCTTTTGAAGTATTTGCAAGTAACTTGACTTCAATCTTACTCCAGTGAATAATATTTAGAGTTCATGGTAAGCCGGTGAAATTAACTAAATTTCACTTTCGAATAATTTGTAATTTAGCGTTTTTTTTTTTTTTTAAGGGACATTTTTTGTACCCGGTAAAACATCGAATAACTTGAAATTGATAGTCTTAATAGAATAAATGCTGGTCTAAAATATTAATGGGATGTAGAAATTAGTTTCAGGCTTTTTAACAGCGCCGGGTAGGAAGCCTCTTACAATCGGCGGTTATCACAACAAAATCATGTCAACCGGAAGTCAACAAATAGGACATTCTCCAAACCCGTAAACAAAAGATTGTAAAATTTTTGCATTCTAATTAATCTATGTGGTCGTCAGTAGTTGACAGCGCTGAAGAACCGCATTTTTAGATCGTTGGAATAAAGATCATGATCTTTAGAAGCAAACAAAACACCAAGAAGCCATACAAATAAACGAAATCTAAATTCGCATCATGTAGATATACTTCCAATTTATCTGTACACGCAATGGAAATGTACAGCGGTCCGCAAGTGAGCCCACGGGGAACTTTTTCATGCTTTTGAGAAGCATGAAAAACTGAGACAGCAACAAACGTTTTCCCAAATGTGAACATTGCGACCTCTTATACTCGCGTATTCTTCTTCTTTTTCAGGGAAGCAACGTTTATAATCGAACTACAAAAGTGTATAGAAAAAAGTGTGATTACGCGATTGCTATACCCTGAGTTTTTAACTAGATGAGGAACGAGAAGCAGCTGAAAAAGTAAACAGAACATTAAATTACTAATTACCGTATGTGTTGTGAGCCATTACCAAAATATGTTATAGGGCTTTCAAAGAAACGAACATATTGACGACATTTAGGAAAAACGATTGCGATCATTTCATTAGATCGACAACCTAGTTTTCAGATTGGGGTGGGAAGAAGAGAAACCCTGGGAACGAGGTTGCAACACCTGTATATAAATGGTCCCAATATTAGCGACACGGATATCCCACCTTAAAAGGCTTCAGAGACAGCTATTAGAACAAAATCGGAATTGGGTGAGAACAAGAGCAACATTTTTTTTCCATCCAAGGAGCACATTTGATTAACACACTGCTTCATTATAATCAGTTGTCGTCGTTAACAACTCTATCTATACAGAGACTATCTATACAGGAGGGCGACAAAGACTTTTTACCCGTGTTCCCTACGAACTTTACGGCATGACTAAATGAAAGTTCTGTTGGAATAGTTAAATAACATTGGCTTAGCCACTCATTCCTCAACGCTGACATGCGCATTCTTCGCGAAGTGACTGCAGTTTTTCGATGTAGGGCTTCTTGCGCCTAACTTTCACATCTGAAAGGTCAATGTAAAAAGAATTGCAAATTTCCTTTGATACAGCAATGGAAAAGTCACTCAGCTTCTTCTGAGACGCCAGCTCACACAAATGTAGGCATCGTAAACAATTGGGTGTTTAGGTGTTAGCCCACGGACAGCCTCACTGACAATCTTGTCCAAACCGGACTCAAGTGTGGCAACTTCGATATCGCCTTGCTGCTCGCCATCCACAAGGGTTTTCTTCGAGGCAAGACGTGAATAAAAACCTGCTATTCGGTTTGCGGTCAGGAATTCGTTACTCTTAAACAACACGATGCCACTCGAATCCTTGGCACACGTCACTGATCGTGCAACTGCTGCCGAATTTGCCTTACTTCCGGTCTCCTCTCCAATTCTAAATTTTGCAGTCAGAAAGGGCTTCTGGCTTTGGGTGAACCTGGTTCTTCGTGACTCACCTGACGTAAGTGCCCAACCCATTACTTGTCTGTTTGTATCCCTGGCGGGCGAGCTAACTGTTCCGACTACAGGTACCAGCGTTGGCTGTCCCTCCAGGTGCTCTGCACACTCTAATGCAGCTTTGTCAAAAAGCGTCTCATGCTCTAGAGCACGTTGGTGTTTGCCACAGTCCAAGTGTTGCATCATGGAGGAGTGCCTCAGGAATGTCTTAGTGCATCCTGCTTCTGGGCTTGTAAACAGTGCCTCGTCTCCTGTTGCAGGCTCTCCGTCGGTTTCCGTCAGGTCTCTTGTAGCATGGGTTTCACTTGGATGTGTTGTGGTAGTCCGCCCTTTCACGATGGGGGAGAAAGAGCCTGGGTGCTCCTGGAGTACTATCATTGACAGCAGAGTATCTAGTGATGGGATCTCAGTCTTCGGAGCAGATATCAGTTTCCCAGGTTCCACGCCGTATGCTCTCCATACACGGATTCCCTCTGTGGTGAACTCTATATTTGAGAATTTACTCACACCATCAATTTTGCAAGTAATCATTGGAGGGCTTGTGATAGACTCGCAGAGGGATGCCACTCCACCGGAAGAAAGAATAGCCTTAACCATCTGCGCAGGCGTCTCGATATCGTTACCAGAGGGAACTTCGATATAGCCTTGCTGCTCGCCATCCACAAGGGTTTTCTTCGAGGCAAGTGAATGTTAAGTGAATGCGCATGGCTGACTTTAATAAGGCTGCCTTACGATCACTAGCTCCTTTTCCACACTCGGGCTCTAAAAAATCCAATCGTTTGATCGCTACGCTCAACTCTTTTCCTACCAAGTTTGCGCAGACTATGGTAGACCCGCTATGGTAGCAACCAGCGTTGTCTTGGCGATAACTGACTGTCTTCAGATCTGGCATGATGGTCTTGAGTTGTTTGATAAGGTCCGCCATAACTGCGAGGACCGCACAGCTGCCTCGAGTACACATCTGGGAAGATATGGGGAAGGTTAACATTTGAAGACGTTCGCTAAACTTTCTGAAGGCTACGCTGATGTCACATCGGTGCCAAGAAATACCACGTTTGCCAAACCAATCGGTTTGGCTTTCTCGGTATTTTCTCGGCAATTATTTCATAGCCCAGTCCTGTACAACTATAACTGATAACTCTTCTAATGATTCGAGGCTATCGATCCCTGCAGCATCTTGATTTAAGGAGCGTATTATGAGTCTTCCAGGCATAGATGTTTGTTTTAGCTTGCTTTACAGTAAACGAAAGTTCCTCCTTGACCTCGGATAGCAGGTTATCCGTCTGGGTGATCATTGCTGATTCGATTTCGCTGAAAGTTGACACTAGTTAGTCGCAGCGATCATAGGTGTCGTTATGATGATGGCCGCACTGAGCTTGAAAGGCAGGCTCCTTTGGGTCACTCAACGTTAACAACCTGCAGTGATCGGCCACAGAAGAACTCTGACACGCGTGCACCTGTAACACACACACAAAACAACTTACGCACGACTGTTGACCAGACCACATGCAATGCTCATACGTTTTGATGGGCCTGGGAGCTATGTAATTTATATACAAGAAAAAAGTAGTCACTGCGAAACTCTGAAAAGTAATTGAATGAAAAGAAACAAAAAGTTTTCCAGTAATATTTGCGATTTAAAGTAAAATTTCAGGACAACAATTTATCAGACAAAAAAATTCATCCAGGCTAAGACTGAAGCCTGCCTCTCTCGTAAAAGGGTATTTTCTTTCACACGAGTGCATGAGCTTATTCGGTAAAGAAGCACTTTCTTCAAACGTGTATTCCATTTTGAGAACTGCTAACGTGTTTGAGAACGTTACAGAATGAATTCGACGAACCTTTACCTTGTAATCACCTTTGAGGTAACGCTTTCCAAGTCGAAGGCGACTCTGTATATCTTTCGTCCAGCCCATGCCTTTTCCCGCGTCTCCAAGTCTTTCTGAGGCGTCGGCTAAGTCTTCAAATGCCTGCGATCCTGCAGAACTAACGTAATCTAAGCCTTGAAGTGATTTTCGAAGAGAGGCGGGACAAACAGCAAGGATACGCAGAAGCCGCGTGCTTCAGCTCAAGGGCTTGAAACTAATCTCGTCACATCGGGCCAAATATTGTTTCACCACTCTCAGGAATCATCGTTCGGATAACGTTTGGTATCTTTATAGTTTCTTTGTTGCTAAGCGTTATGGATCTTTCTCCAAATGGCAAATCTTGCACAATGTGCGAGCTTGTTATAAAGGCGATGAAATGCTCTATTTGTGAAGATAAAAGATTTGAAGATAAAAGAGAGAAGATTTGATAAAAACAAGGTAATTCAATTTATGCTCGTATATTGCGGAAAATTAGGTTAGGGCATGTTGTTTTTGCACTAAAAAGACCTGTTTTAGGGTTTTTATACTCGTTTACCAAAACGCCGATCTGTACCTATCACATATTTTTCATCTCGTGTGGTATCAAAAGGTTCACACTAATAAAGTTGGTTTATATTAATAACAAAAAAACCTTGATGTTGTTTTTTTGGGAGGGGCTTATTGAAAAAATCTGAGTATTTAGCGATAAAACTGAAACCGCCGTCTCCACAACGTGGTGAAGCTATACTGATTGTTGACGAAAACAATTTCAAGCCCACATTACCTTTACAATAGATAGTAACTGCAGTTCATCCTACTGTCAGGACAAAATTGTTAAAATTTTCGGATATAAGTGATTGAAAGGCTCCATTCAAGGAGGTACAGTGCTGATATCCTTCTCATAGAATGAATATATGAAGTTCATATATTTTGAACCGCGTTATTAGGTACGTATGATGCCCGATCCTCGCAGTAGACAGCGCTATTTGTGCAATAGCGAAAATCAGACCTGAAAAAAATCAGGCCTGTACGGGATTCGAACCAATGACCTCTGCGATACTAGTGCAGCGCTCTACCAATTGAGCTATCAAGCCAACTGGGAGCACGCCGTTAAGTTGATTCGTAATAAACCCGTGATGATAAATCAGACATAATGAATATATGAAGTTCATATATTTTGAACTGCGGTATTAGATGCGTATGATGCACGATCCTCAAAATAGTTCAAAATATATGAAATTCATATATTCATTGTATCTGATTTATCATCACGGGTTTATTACGAATCAACTTAACGGCCTGCTCCCAGTTGGCTTGATAGCTCAATTGGTAGAGCGCTGCACTAGTATCGCAGAGGTCATTGGTTCGAATCCCGTACAGGCCTGATTTTTTTCAGGTCTGATTTTCGCTATTGCACAAATAGCGCTGTCTACTGCGAGGATCGNAGGAAGCTTCGTGTAGTAGGAATCATTCCCTCACATAACGACGTAGCCAGGAGGACTTCGGTACATATGCTTGGACGAATACGCTCATGAACAAATTCCTTCAGTTTGCTGCCCTTTCTTCTGAGCCGTTTCAGAGTCGCTTCTGGTATTCTACTGGGTTCTCGATCACGCCTAAATACACGGTTGTGTTGACATGAAAACATAATATGAGATAGCTCGTTTGATATAGCAGGTTCGCTTGATATTTCTCGATAGAAGTTCACTCGTGAAGGATCGCTCGTAAATCGATCTCTCGTTAGCGGACCGACCCGTTCCCAAAACGCTCCACAAGGTTTAGTGTGGGTCTACCGCGAACGGTATGTGACTTTGTATGTAGATTGAGCGTAATAGCCATCGACTTTCTTTCGCGTACATCAAACCAGGAATTGTCCACGAAGGCAGCCATTGCTTTAAACCATGCGCTCTAGGGCTCATTCTACGCATGGGCTTACACTTCACGCATGCGCTAGAGTGGAGCTGCGTTTTGTGACTGAACGCAAAGAAAAAAACAAGAAAAGAAACTAAGCCGAATTTATACCTCGGGCGTTTCCCTTGGAAAGCCCGAGTAATAACGCACTGAGTATCTAGGATGTGGGAATATAGCAATTTGCGGTGTATTTTGTTTGAGCTATTGCAGGTTTACCGCTATAAAATGTAATTAGTTTAATGTTCATTTCAAGGAAGGTAAGCGTGTAGCGAAAGTTTGTAAGACAATTAATATAAAACAGGTTCTGCGACGAGTCAAGATTGCCATCAATCACCTTTAATGACCTTTGCTCAGGCGGTTAGTTATACGCCGGCATGGCTACAACTAGCCTCAAATAAAAAGAGATTTTTCTTCAAGGTGAGCTTAACGTGACATTTCTGTTGTACGTTTTCTTTCTCAAGGAAAAAAGGATTAATTTCCAAGTATATATTTATAAATATTTATAAATATTTTGTTGAAGGCATACGTTTATTGTTACCACTTGTTGACAGTTAATGTGATTTTCCCAATTTTTTAAGCGTCGGTGCTTGGTCCTCATTGAAAGCCCGGAATTGAATTATATACCTGCTCTTATAACAACATTTTCTCTTACAATAATTCTAAATCTCAAGCGATTCAGTGCTTTCCCGGGCAAAGAAAATGTCGCTTGAAAAAGCGCACGAAATAAAATTTTTTCAGTACGCGAATTTTAGCGATTGTTGAAAGCGTCCCGTGACCTAATAATTCAAATCTACAGGTCTTTAAATTGAATTAAAAACTTGGTTAACCTTCAAAGAGACATTTCTGTGCTTAAAACAGAGTTTTAATGCGATGCGACTCAGATCAGAAGGCAAATAGATAGATAAATTTGCATTTGAATTTCGAACACGTTTAATTTCTCTACCACTTTTTTGATAGTATTTTGATCACCGATAACTGTTACGATGTTTCCAGGTGTCTCAGTGAAGCTCTTCTCACTTGCGTGCTACCAGAATTCATAGATCAATACACGCCCGCTTCCCGCTGCCCGCTGCCCAATGCCTATACATAGATGGTTTGTATTTAACTCCTCAATGTCTCACGTATTCGTTATGCTTTCGCTGTAAAACTCAGCTGGGTGTCTAATAAAAACAATTTATATGACCCATCAATCCATCAAAGCCATCAATCGCACGATAACGTGTCTGCTTTCATGCCGTGTTCTTGCTGGGCGCCATCCCGCGTTTGCTAACATTGCAGTCATTTCAAGTTACTGCTAACAAGCAAAGTGTTGGTCCAAACATTTTTAACTAGAAATCCTCGACTTTTCAGGAACAAAAAATCGCACGACAAAATTATTTTTATCATCTTTTTAATCGTTTTGACGATTTGAATGGACCACATATTCAACAATTTTCTTCCAAAATGTAAGGGAAAGGTGAAGCTCTATGTTGGTTTCAGCTTGCTTTCAGGCGTTCCTTTTTTTCAGGGGAAGTGCAATGGTATAACGGCAGAAGAAACGGCAGTCAGGAAAAAAGAAAGGCTGATTTCGGCTTTGAGTATTGTTTTTCTCCTCCGTCATTATTTGTCGGCGACACATTAATTTCCAAATTAGATTTGCAAGATTGGATCCCGGTTCTAAAATAATTTGCCCTCGAGCGAGAGTCTAGTCAAGTAAATTGCGCGAGCTTTAATAATTGTCTTGTCGAAATAGTCAAATTCATTATTTTTACCCTATTCGAAAGTATACGGACTGTACGCACGGCAGAATTCGACGTTATCATTTCCGGCTAGAGAGATAAATGACTAAAATTTGCGATG